TTTTTACAGATGGCTCAAGACATTAAAAAATTGAATTCAATAAAGTTAATGTGGAGTGGCTGAGCCCTGCCCATTACTGGTATCCTTCATCATTGACTTATAACAATTAAGAAAGCTCACTAATAAGTTTTCCTTTTTCAATACCACAACTTAATTGACATTCTCTTTAAAACACACTGGCTGCTAACATAATTGTGACAAAGTGAGGTTCACGCTTGCATCATACAATGTTCCACCTAAGAAAGATACATGTATATCACGGTGGAAGACCAGGTGCTAATTATCTAACTGGTGACTGGTCGGTAAGTTACCCAAACACTGTCCAGCTAAATGTATCCCACTGAAATATTTGAGCCTGATGGAAAATTAATGCCTGAGTTTACAATCCAAGAGGACTGGAGAGGGCAATATGAAATCCTTCTGGAATACCAGAGGATATTATTCTACGCCTACCCTACTACAGATACATGGGTGCGTTCGGTTCCTATAAATACTACTATATACATGTACCTCACTCTGCAACTACAAGGCTATAGGGAGGTTTAATTATTTCAAACAAGAAAATCTTAAAATGTAAAACTAATTTATGCCTTCTTTCTAACTTCATAAAGATTGTCTCCCTTCCTCATGCATCCAATGGTTGATTAATTTATTGATCATATTAGTCTTTCATAGAAGATCTTTTAACTTTTCTGCTCATAGCTTTCTTTGATTTTCCGTGCCCAAGCTGCTTCTCTTTATCTTTGTCATGATTCGACCTACAGTGTGTACTCTTTGCCTATTTTCCTCTTTCCTCTTGCTAAATCCTTCTTCTTCCTTATTCTACCTTCCTCTACTTCCACACCCCTATTTTATTATCCCTTTTCCTTTCCCTCATTTCTTTCTACATCCCTTTTGCTTCCTTCCTCATCCAATTAAAATGTGCCTTGATACTTGATAGTGCGCAGACTTTTAGACTGCAATATATCTACATTCCCTTTTCAAACAGTATGTAATTATGTATTCCTCTTTAAACAATCTATATGTGTATTCAAACATTCCCATGGGACACAACAAATAGATAAACTCAAACAAGACGATATTCTTTCATGCAATACATGATCTTTAGAACAAAGCAACTGGAAAAACTCCAGAAACAAAACAGAAGCAGATGCTTGACAACTCCCATAATTCTCCTCTGTCTTGCATCAAAACCTCTCACAGGAGAGAGAGTCTCCAGTAGACCGTAGAGCTGGAACATAACACCATGGACAGACAGACTGCAGTTCAGCAAACCCATGGACCTACCCAAGCATTGGGATGAAGCTTACTACACAAGGAGAAAAACCTTCATGTTTATCCATGGAAATTTCAAAACAAAGTCATTATCTCTAATGGTCTTCTCCTTGGAGAGTGTTTAAATTGTTCCCACTTGAGATTCTACAGGAAAAACTCTTCAATCTGGCATCAACTTTTTGACAGAAACAAGAAACCAATTATTTTATTTTTATTCACATCCACATTATCCTTAATGTTTCATTAAAGGTATTACAAAGTTTTGGGAAATTTTGAAAATTGGGTGGGTAGTGAATCTTTGCAATTTTGATATATTTGGATGCCCCTGTGGATGTATTATAAGCACTAAAAAAATTATCCCCTAAAACACTTCTGTTTTCGAGAAAAATTTAATATAAAAATTTACTGGTGCTCCCGGTAAATTTTGATAAATTTCAAATAGCGCCTATGGCCGTACAATGATAGCTGCGACCATGAAAATCTCAGAATATGTAGTTGTGATATATGATTTCCAAACAGGAATAGCTAATCGGTCGATTTTAGTCAAGAAACATTGTTTCATAGCTAAATTAATATCTTGACCTTGAGAGGGAGCTATACAACATCAAGAGTTTATTATTTATAATTTCATAACATTATGACTCGATTTCAACCGTGACAACGATCAATGAATATTGTAGGAATGCATATATGCTTTCAATATGTTAATTTGAACCAAATTCATGACCCCATACCAAAACTTTGTAATACCTTTAAGGTAACTTTTTCTCCAGACAATGTAGCCAGGCTCTAGAAAGAAGGGGTGGTCAAAAGTAAACTTTGAGTTCTTTATCCCCCCCCCCCAAAAAAAAAACTTCTTTTTTCTGTCTCACTCTTTTTGACAGTCATATTTCATACACTATTCTTTTGTTTTCTTCTCTCTCTTCCATCTTCAAGTTCATGATGATCCCCATTTCGCTTCCCTTCCTCCTCTTCTCCTCTTTATTTCCCAATCCCTCTACTTGTTTACCCCTTCTCTCTTTTCACCCCCCCCCCCTCTTTCCCTTCATCTTTTTTCCTTTTCTTTGCTCTCTCTTTTCTTTCAATATTGTCAGTATGCACAACCTGTACACCATCACAAATCACTCCCTCTCTCCCCTACTTCCCTCCTTAAACACATACTCCCTCACTCCCCCTCCCTCCCTCCCTCATACCCCTCCCTCCAGAGCTCTTTCCCTCATACCCCCTCCCTCCCTCTTTCACTCCTCCCCTCCTCTTTCCTTTCCCATTCCTTCATTCCCCACCCTGCACCACCCCTTTTTTTCCCTCAATTTCCATTTTGTCAGCCCTACTAAGGAGTAAGGCTCCTAATCATTTGGTATGATGACCTCTACATCAACACATATTACTCCCTCACCCCCCCCCCCCCTCTTCCATCCCCTTCCTTCCCTCACCTGTTACCCTTCCCTCTTTCTATTCCACCTTGTCAGTCTGTAGTACTCTGTGCAACCTGTACATCAACACACAATGATAGCCTAGCAGATTCCACTTGTGTATCAACAAGACACTACACTCTGAGAGCAACCGGAAATTTCTTAGGAGATAAATTTCCTCTGGGGTTTCCTCTCCAGCTATTGCATTGTTCCGTCATACCTCAGACATCCACTTGTCTAGGTATTAACCAAGTCATGACTTAATCTTGCCTAAGCATTTATCTAAGCTACCCCCCCCCCCCTCAAAAAAAGTTTTAAAAAAATAATATATATATACACATGGTCATGGTAGTATTAGTACTAGGTTGCCCTTATTTAAATGAAATCACGTATGTCTTAATCCTTAGTCCTTCATGTCTGGTAATTTTTCTTAGAATGCCCCCCCCCCCAATTATACCCCAGATATGAAAACAAACCTTGTCTCAGCATTTCCTCCTACAAAAATAAAACATCCATCAACCTCAATTTGCTCTCGTTACAAACCAAGTCATGATTTAATCTCTTATGGACGCATTTTCTTAGAGCCCCCCCCCCCCCCCCAAAAAAAAACTTTCTTTACCAGTGCACTCATGCATCAATTTTATTTCCTGTAATGTTTTTTTCAGGGTGGCAGCATAGATCAGAATCATTTTCAAGATTACATAGCATAGGAAACAGTTGATCCTATAAGTACTTTGAGGGAAGCAACTTTCCAATATTCATTAAGCCCCCCCCCCCCCCATCCAAATTGTTGTGGCTACCTTCCCTTCAGTAGAGAAGGTGGATGGAATTGGAAACTCACAAATATCTTCTTCTTTTTAAATCTCTGTGCATATATATTCATAAACAGACCTATACTCTAATGGCTACATGACTTAACATATATATTTCTTCTTCTCTTTCTTTTCTCCTTGTCTGATACCTGTATGTGATCATCTGTCTATTCCTGCTCCACATGACTGTTCAAAGAAATCATTCACACCTTTTACTTTAGCTCTTATCATACAATCTGGGATTTTCCCTAACATAATGAACTCATTGAACTGTACTTCATTTGTGCTACTTGATACGTTTTTTGTGTTGCTTAATTCATATTTTGCCTTTAAATTCTTTTTATTATAATCTGTTTAGTCTAGTAATATTTGTTTATGTTAGCTTGATTTATTCCTACTTGACAATTTTAACTGAATATTTGCAACTCTATCATCTTCTTGAACCGGTATCTGTAATCTGTATCTATCTATACAAATATTTACCAATCTATCAAGACAATATCAGATCTACTACCCAGAACTACTAACCAGCTACCGAGACAGGTGCTCATATCTCCAGCACAGGGGTCAATTGCCTACTGCTGTTCCTAGCCTTCGAGAATCTAGGTCAGTCTCCATTCCCACTGATTCATAACAAAACATCTCTGCATGTCTGAGCATGGTGTACATACACTTGTACAGTCCTACATATACAATGTAGACTGCAATATCTAGCAGTACATGTACATATATTCACTTCGGGTAACCAGAACAACTTTTACAGAAAATTAGCGCAAGAAATGAGAGATTAGTGCACTGATTCATCATTGCTGCTACCTAGTACCTACCTACATGCTGGACCAGGGCAAAATGTGAAACACACATTTGGTCCATGATTTTTTTGTTTTCTTCAGTGACAAAGCAGTTTGAACTAGTTTAAAAATGCAATGTCGAGGCCTAAAATGGTCTATATCTTAGAAAAATACTGAACTTACCAAACTGCTAAATCCCAATCTAGACTGTTTAACAAAATGTATAGGATAGTGGTACACAAACATAATAGGTAGCTATTTGGTTTTTGAACAGCTACACACAAGTAGATGTTAAAAATCAATTAAAGTGAGGGCTGTGAGGCACATCTGGAAGATGAATGCAAGAGCTTGATAGCCCCCCCCCCCCCCCCCCCCAAAAAAAGGTAAAATATAAGAAACTGTGTAATAATGGGAAAGTGTACAGGGGTGGACAAAAGCTTCCCTACTAAATTCTAAGGTTAGTGGAAGCTTGAACTACATGTTTTATATAATTTATAAACATATACCAGTATAAATATATACTGTATATACTTGTACACAATTTCCCCAAATGGGAGAACAGCAATGGGGAACTTTGATTTCAGCCTTCATTTCGCATTATATATATATATATATATATATTTCTGGCACCAGCCTGCATGGCTTTACAATATATTTTGCTAGTCTCAATGAGGAATTATAGACACAAGAACCAGAAGAATATATCTCACCTCTGGGCAATCCTTGATGTAGTGACCCTTGTTGAAGCACAGATGACACAGATACGTTGGGGGCGGTCTCTTCCCTGGTTTCCTATCATTGACGGAGATGAGGGAAAGATCATTGAACTGGTCAGCTAAATCTCCTACGCTGCCATATGGTGATGTGATGAGTTTGGTTTGCTGAAAGAAATAAATCGATTAATGTTGATTAATTAATTAGCTGATTAACAGACTGATTCTATCAATCAATAGTAACAACAGGTTTACTGATCATGCATTTCAGAAATATGAGAAAAATAAAAGAGAACTTTAAAATAAAATTATCATAAGCTGGTAAATGGGACAAGAAAATAGCAAAACTGGATTGTCAAGTCTGGCCCCTCTACATCGATTACTGTGGAGATGCTCAACATGCAAATATGAGAAACATACTGATTTTGCAATATCTATTCCATAAAAAGTTGTTTGTAATATTATTGTCTTACTTGGCAAATCACTGATCTACATGTACCTGAAGAGTCAACACTTTTTTAACACCAACTTGCCAAAGATTTTATTGTTAAGTATACTATTTTCCTTATATTTGTAATTTAGCATTACCTCTATAAAAAAAAGAGTTAAAGACGCAGTCATCCTCTGTTCCGCATCACCAATTCTTCGGATGTTGCCTTGACATATAAAGTTATTATTATTATTTATTTATTTATTTTTTTTTTGGGGGGGGGGGGGCACAAGTGAGCTATAACTAAAAGAGTCCTAATCTGTTGATGCACATGTCATTTACATGTACATGTATGCAAGGCTTTTTTTAAGGAAAGCATGACCAATTGACAACTTATTTCCTTTTTTAAGACTTTAGTTACTCATTACATACATGTACAACTTTTCTTTCAGGATTGATTTCATTTTAAAACTTTACCGTATGTGAAATAAAATCTGAAAGAGAGTCTCACAAGATTTGCCTACGCACTTAAAGCAGTGTTGCAAACAATATATTGATAATTTGGCCGATGGAAATTTGAAATACATTAAGGAACAATGTTGCCCATAAAGTTAGAATATTTTGTTCTTACATCTTTTCATGAAATGATTCTGAGTCTGACAAAACTTCAAAGATTAAGTTAATTATCTTCATAGACCATTATTGATTAATCTAAACTTTCTAAAGAGTCATATAATTTGAGCAATAAACTTTTAATTAGATATAACCTGTACAGCGTATTTATCATATTCTCCCAATCACTCATGAAAAGAGGTAAACAAAACATTATTCTCATTTTAAAGATAAACTCCAATACTGGTAAAAAAATAATAATTCTCACAGAATCAAACGAAACTTACACTGAATGTTCAAGATTACAAATAAATGACATGTGCCAAACAATTTTGGAAGAAAATGTGTACTGGCTGAGTAATGAGCATAGAAAGACAAGGAAATCAAGATAGTACTAGCCCCGACACCATGCGTGTTGTCCCATATATAGCTTTCTATGTGAGTGCTTGTTACTTTACCAAGACTCGGTCAAATTTATTATGATTTTGATGACTCCAGAACCTTGCAGTGCACACCAATACTTACATGCTACATGTACATGATCAACTGTTTCTGATCCTTTCCACACCTTTTCTTTCACAATGCAATCGCATTACCAGTACTAAAGTTTATCTTTAAGGGCAAAAGTGTATGATCAATTTATCATACCAAGTATAGCCCTATCAACACAAAATAATTAAATTCAATTAGATTTTACTTCTGTTTCCAACAAACCATTACAAATCAATAATAATCTTTTACATAAAATTAAGGAATACATATTGGAAACAGAGAGGTCCACTAGAAAGCAATGCTTGCACATATAATAAAAGGAAACAATCATCATCCTAGATAAATCTCATATAATGATATATGTTCAAGTGCTAAATAAACAATGCAATATATCAAGTACAGTCTGTGTACATACTTCACAGCATCATAAAACTATTATCATTTCTATGCAATATGACACTTCAAGCACCTGACCTTGTGACCTTTGACCTGTGTTTGTAGATGAAATAAACACCCTCTCTATCATCACACACACACACACACACACACACACACACACACACATAGACTTTATACCGAGCTGTGTACAGCGACAGACACACATACATGTATGTACATAACTGGAAGAGTTCGCAAGTCCATGTAATGGTGTATCTTCTCTATGAACTTTAATTTGTTCTTTGCTAGTCTTCCATGAACTCTCACTTAAAGTTGGAAGTCGACTTCTTAGAATTAGAATCGACAAATTCTCTTCTTCATGGACAAGATTGTGTTTCCTTTAAACTAAGATAGTATTAATATCAATTAGATGATGCAGTAAATTCAGTCTGAACACAATGTAAACGAGAAGTGGAAATGAGGAATATTCAATAATTCTTTTTGTAAATACTGAATTTATTTTACAATTAAGTGTCTCCACAAGGCACATGGCAAATATACAAAATATTGAAGTGATTGTGACAAGCTTTTATTTCAATTAACAAGTCATAATATTAATATCACTTTGTAGTTTGTAACTACCAAATGATAGTTTCCATGTAATAGCAATAAATTATAGTCTACCAGTAACTAATAGAGTTTAAACAAAATTAAATTATGAAGTACATGTATATATTGACAAAGAAGACTTCTTGCTAAAGTATGAACAAAACAAATACATGATAGTAAAAAAAAATAAGGTGGATAATTTCTTAATGAATTCTATCTGATATTAAAGAAATCAAATCAAATAACAATGAATACCCCCTCAGCCCCCCCCCCCCCCCCACATACATTACGGCTGGACAACAATTCAAATATTCACCAGCTAGTTATTGTTCTTCCGATTCTTAGATTGTTTGTTTGTTTTCAAATCAATCTACTCATAGTTTGGCATTGGTACTTTAAAGTTCTTGAGGTGTCTAGGTGTCTACTGTGTTTATAATATTTCATTCCAGGAATATTCTGATGTGTCAAGAGCACCCTATCAAATGTGGCTTCGACTTTCAATCCTCAGGCATTTTTGTTTCTAGAAAATGAGAATTTGAAGCTTTGTAAAGGTCATATTCACATTATATATTTGTGCAAGTTATGTCTTCAGTTTCCTTGGCTTTCAATAAAGAGTGTAAACATTCTGTTCAACTTTTGTGGATAAAGCAAAGTTAGGAAACTCCCCAAATGTGATTTAAAATATATTCATCATAATTCATATGTATTATGTACATGAAGGACTCCTATGGTGAACTTTTTTCTTAAGATGTAGAACAGTTCATTAGCTCACGTCTGAACATTGTTTAAGAATTCATACTCAGCACACCTTAGACTTACAGCAACCCCCTCCCCCTTATAGTTCAAGTGACAATAGACAACTTATTATATAACAGAGACAAATTTCACCCAATCTCTACATACATTATACACAGTACATAAAACATATCAATCTCAAGCTGAGTTATAGCAAACTAAAGTATAAAATTTGTAGTTTTCTTCTCTTCTTGCACTGAATACTTGTGTATAGTTCTACATCATTGACTTGTACTACATGTATGTAGTCTTGTATAAACCCACGGTCCATGATAAAACACATGTCAACAATAAATGTACTTGTTCTAAAAGGCAAGCACATTTTATTGGAATACAGCCATGTTACAGTTTGTATTGTGAGATTGTATTCCACAAGATTGTCCTCATAGTCATATTGGTACTTCTAAATGTACATTTACACTTGGCTGTCTAAAACTACAGTGTAGTAAATAAGCAGCATGTGTATACATTGTGGGACTTTAGGATAGGAATAGAAAAACAATATGGTGATACATGGTATCTTTCCTTACTTTTACAACATACAGGCACACAAGTATAGTGGCTACATGTAGCTGCACAAGTGTTGTTATCCCATTGTTGGTAGTGTGACAGGTCGAAATGTTTCTCAATTCCATTTGTTGAGGAGGTCCCTGAATGAAGGGATCCATGTCTCTGAATAAGGAGATCCCTTTAAGTGTACTTCTGAGGTGGTCCCTAAAAGGGAAAGTTCACTTTGACCTGAAGTCTGAGAGGGGTGATATGGGGTGATTTGGAGAGAAGAATGGTGGTCCCTGAAAGGGGAAGTTAACTTTGACCTTAAGTCAGAGAGGGTATGGGGTGATTTGGAGAGAAGAATAGATTTTTTGCCACATCATAGGGGAAGTGCACTTTGACCTTGAGTCAGAGAGGGTATAGGGTAAGGAGAGAAAGGATATTTTGGCAGATCACAGATTGAGAGGGATGAGCATAGACCATGCATCCACTCAGGACTTAGGAGGTTGGATTTGACAGAGAAGCTAACTCTGAGTAGAACTTCATACTTACCGTAATAGTATTTCTGCAGCATCTATGGTAAGTTCTAAGTGGAATTATAATATATTTGACATGCATCATTAGATTGAAACCGTATAGAGGAAACTTGATTTCATGTATAGTTGACAACTCTTGAGTGTCTTATTGAGTTGTGAGTTGTATTTCACATTCCTTTGCTGTTATTATGTGATACTACTAGAAGAATCTATAGAGAAACACTCTGTGTAGTACCCAAGTGAAATTATGTCAATATTTGGAGGCCTATCATTAATTGCTGTTCATAATGAGTTGGTTTAGAAAACCAAATATGATACGATCTGTGCTTCTCTGTATAAAGTATTGTGTATGCAAAAGAAGACCTGGTATACAGTAATAACTAGGTAAAGAGATAATTTGTATCATTAGTATTGGATATTTTGTTAAAGTAAAATATTTGTTATATATCAAAAGCTTGCAAGTTGCATGTCACTTTCTAAGAATTTGAAAGTTATAGAAGTTATCATTTAAGTTACCATTTAAGTTACAGTCGCTCATTACTCAGCATGATGAAGTGTTCAGTAGGGGAGATCATGACATGGGGTACTGTGACAAAATCAGACATTCGATTAAGACGGTGGACGACATTCCAATCAAGCTGCCTTACAGACGAGTTCCACCCAGCCAATGGGAAGAAGTTAAGAATTTCTTAGAAACGCAGTGTTCCATCGGAGTAATTCGTCCCAGTATTTCCCCTTATGCTGCTGCCATGGTTTTGGTAAAGAAGCCGAACGGAAAGATAAGAGTTTGTGGTGACTTCCGACTGTTGAATGCCAAGACCATC